AATAAAGGTAAAACTAGCTGAGTGTAACATTTTATAATTACTCGATGATGAATAGTATACTGAATTAAACGTTCGGAGAATTGCGTTAATGCTTGGATTTAGCCCATTGAAAGTCCTTATATGGTGACAACGGGTACGTAAATTGAAGAAGCAAGAGCGTTATATTAACAATAACAATTATAATGAACGTGGTTTCCTATCACTAAAACGCTTCAAGGTAACCGCCTTACCTTGCTGTTACTAACAATTGCGGCTTCTCGATCCTACTCATTCCTACTTCCTCGCGGTCATCAACAAATGTTTTGCCGCATATGAACCTCGCATTTTGCAGTAAAATTTAGACTTATACATTTTGCGGTTTCTTAAGGACCGTATTTCTTAAAGATCTTAATCCCTCATTCTTGATTTGGATTTAGCACAATGAAAATCTTGATCTACAAGGCTTCTATTCTCATGCAGTCACAACCTTTTTATATTGAATATGTGCAGAAGATTTTCCCAGCCGGCAGCTTGAACTTCAAACTTATGGTTTTTTGGCTACTTAGTGAAAGAAGCCTCGCTAAAGCTCAAACGCAAATTGTTTTGCTATTTACAAGATTATGAGCTTTTTTCAAAACCCAGATTGAAACACGACAGAAGCTTTGAGATAGTTTTTCTTTGTGTTTCAACCGTGGCCTCTTAAACGATCAGTACAGGGAAAGGCTACGGTGTGCCATTTTTGATATGAGAAATAACATGAAGTAGCTCGATGAGAAATTTTTGTAGACACTTCTAGAGCTTACGCAACAGTTTCATCTTTTGCAACGCCAATCAACATACGATCGCATACTGTTCGAACTTTTGAAAGGATTGTAAGATGATGCTACAAAGAAGCCTACTCTTTCAGGTTCTGATATTCCCGTTCTCGTCCAGATTGCATCAAAACCGTTCTTGACCTTTTCTGAGAGAGATTTAATGAACTCTGGAGTCGTATCGAACTGGTCATCCACTGAAATTTACTTTCTTCTCAGCCATTATAAATTTCATTATTTGTTTTATTTCTTCCTAAGCAACTCTAACCTGGAATTCCGTCTTCGTTGTCATTGGCACTGTTGAAAATGGCTGCTCTTTCCTCATCAGTCAAGGAGGCCATTATCTCA